TAATTATAGACATCGTGCATGGTCAAGTAGTTGTCTTTCATTCGAATATCAAACCTCGCTTCGGTTGCTTGTCCGAGACTAATAATATTGTTCTTGAGATCTGGTATGTAGTAAATCTCCGTTATCAGCCTTTGTTGACCCTTCTTTCCTTGGAAAAGTATAGCACATTTTCCTTTGATTTTTACACACGAATTATCTTCGAATTTAATCCTCCCGGTTATGCCTTCATCGAGTTTGGAGAAAAATGACCTGTTACCCATCATACGATTACTCGCCCCATTATCCAAATACCACACATCATTATCTTGTGAGTCGTATCAAGATGGTATCACCTTTTCTTCATTTAAAAATACAGTCTCGTGTAAAAATACGGTCTCATCGGTATCATTAACTTCGGTAAAATTACTTTCTTGTAATTTTTGGGTTTGGTTCAGACATTGAGACACGAAGTGGCCTGGTTTATCACATCATTAACAAAAAATTTTAGATCGGTCCTTCTTGGTTTTATTCTTATTTGGTTTATAACTGGAATTGGGCTTATCAAAATTGGACTTATTTCCTTGATTGAGCTTGGCACATTGCAAGGCCTGATTAAATTGTTTGGACCTATTTGATCCACTCGGACCATTTGACCCGCTGCCCCATTAAAACCTTTCAATCCACTTCCTTGCGTTCTGTGATTACTCAAACCACCAGCACCACTAGATGACTGCGTAAACAACACCTTCGCCTGACCATCTCCACCATTGTCCTCCACCCTAATCGGTTCTTCATATGCCTTAAGTCTTCCCACAACATCCTCGAAACCTATTGTCTTCAAATCCAGGAGTTGATCCAAGGAAGCGATAATATGGATGGAATTTCACGATACCGATTTTAGAAATTTCTTGACCATCTTGGGTTCTTCAATCGATTCACCAAGGGAGCTGCTTTCAATGCGATTCCAGCTATTTCCCATGCAAAAGAGTCGATCGATTCTGAGTCAGACATCCTCAATCAGTCGAATTCTACCATCAAGGTTTGTAACTTTTCCTCCTTTACACGATCTGCACCCACATATCTTGCTTTGATTGCTTCCCAAAGATGTTTCGCGGTCTCCACATCTCCGATTTGCATAATTAAGTTTTCTGGCAGTGCTTGATAGAGCAGCCTCACTGCAAGGTGATCATTTTCTTCGTTCTTCTTTGTTCCTGGGTCAATTACACTCCATGCCTTATGAATTCTTAAGACAACCTTCATACGTAGGGACCAAACTGTGTAATTTGTAGAATTGAGCATTGGACATTGAACAGAGGTCGATCCAATTTCCTTCACACTCACCGGAGCAACGCCTCCGTCTCATCTTGCATCCGACATGTTGACCTAGCTCGTCAATAGGTAAGAAATTCAATCTCACAGCTTCTTAACTCAAGATCTGATACCAATTCCATATTAAATTATATGAATTAAAGCACAATAATCAAACAAACTCTTTGATTAAAAGGAAAATAGCTCAAAACCTTTGTGTTACAATCTTAATAACCATAACACGGCTAAAGAGATCATATATATACAATTGATATCGAATTGTACAATTGAATTAGGAAACTTTAGATTATACCAACTTGCCATAAATTAATTTACTTGTTCAACAAGTGTTAGGATCCCATGATTTTAGGATTCCAATACATCTTAATGACATCATCTTGGTTTAACTTTAATTTGCTCCATCTCTATATCATTATTTAACATCTCTTTGTTCTAAATTTCATTAGAGTCCATACTCTATAACAAACATATTAGAAACCCATCCTCATACTCACTAATCCTTGAAGTCTTCATTATCATCTTTATCTTCTAATCCAATATAAGATCCATATCAATTTTATTAATTATTTTTCGAAAAGCCTTCCTCTTGAACAATTATAGGAGGAAATTTACTAAATCGAAATTGTATAATGCAAACCATTTATACCATATAGATGAAATTGTTACATAACGTGTTAATACAAACCCACCCACAACATATGTTTTCATCGTGGACGTCATCTATGAACATCACTTTCCCTCATTTAGCCCAATATAATATGGGGCTTCCCATTGATCTTGACGGCCATGTACAAAAAATAAAATGGAGCTCTAAATATACATTTTTTATGTACAAGCAAAATCCATCCATACTACGATAACTCCATAAATGTTATAAAAAAATCAAAACAAAAGATCGATGATATGATATATAATCTTACATAATTATATGAATCATGAGACTCTCCCAACATTCTTAGAAGCAAAGTTGGTCACAAACTCTTCATAATAAATATTCTCCGATATAGCATTCTCAATAGCTATCACTGTCAATCTATTAAGTCTTTATTGTGACATTGTGGAGCGTAAGTAGGACTTTACAACTTCAGATTTGATCTATATTAACACATGCATTATCAAAATGAATATCGTCGTTGTTTTGATTCTTATATTTTAATTCTAAGAAGATACTTGGAGTTTATTTTTGGATAAACCTAATATGAGCCCCATTTTTATACTTTCTTAGTTCTTTATCTTTTTCTTTACTTTTTTCACAACCCAATCGATGCTTAGGAGGCATAATTCCTATGAATTGTATATGATCATAAACATTATCCTAATCAACTATGTAGAGGCCACAAAACATGAACATGATTATAGAAACTAGAGGGAGCTAGAAACTAGAGAAATCACTGAAAACAGAAATTAGATTCTATAATGCACTAATTTGATGTCCGAAATTCAATCATCAACATATGTATGTTACATTCCTTAATCACCAACAACAACCAAAATATAAATACAAGAGGCCATCAGATTCAAAAGCCATGTATAGTAGAATACTCGCTTAATTTCAATCAATAATAAAAAACAAGAGTGGGATTGCAATAAAAAACGAGAAGTGAAGTCTAGTGGCATCAAAAATCCAAAAAAAAAAAAGAAACATTGCTTAAGCTTTGCAGTTGCCTTGGAATTTTCAAATCGAAACAAAACGTAAGCTCTTGCTTGCTGCAAATCTACATTAGCACATTATAAGCCCATATGTAATTTTTTATTTTATGTCTAATATTGTAAAACATGAGTTATTGCAATGTTTAATTGTAGTGGGAGCACTTAGAATTGGAACAGAACATGGACTTTTGTCTTTTGAATTACCGGATTGTCGATAGCTGGACAACATATTGAATCGTATGTAAAATCACCCCTCACCACAATATAGGCAATATAGGCCCTGTGCGGTCATCCACCTGGCATACCCTTAAAGAGGCCCATATATTTTATTAAATACATTTGAACTCCAAGCCAATAAAGGAAGCCCATAACTTTCAATTTCAACCCAAACCATACTTTCCTTGACCCGGGTAACGACCTCATCTCCTTGAACACCGTTTGAATGTTGATACAAACTTTAGACAAGTTTTAGATGACTTGAATTACAACCAAACCCAGATACCACCGATATACATAATCTCCAAATCAATGAAGCCGTCATTATTGCATAACTGATATAAAGAACTTCACAAATATTACCAAGTGCCACACAAGAAGATATTATGATCAAGATTGATCTTTTTCTTCTCAATGTGGAACCATTTTGTGATTTACAACTCCCCTTCCCCAAACACATCACATAAGACATTATACGTCTACCCTTCTCGTTAACATCAAAATTCCAATCAACATTGCTCTTTTCGCGACCCAGGTTCACATAAGGGTTAAAACCCTTGACCAGTGATGGGATTTCCTTTTCATTTCCATTAAAACTTGTGACTTGTGCAAAAATATTTTAAACGTCCGCTATATAATGTACCTTGCTTAGCAACTTCACAAATATTACCAAACACATCACATAAGACATTGTACGTCTACCTTTCTCATTAACATCGAAATTCCAATCAACATTGCTCTTTTCGCGACCCAGGTTCACATAAGGGTTAAAACCATCGACCAGTGATGGGATTTCCTTTTCATTTCCATTAAAACTTGTGACTAGTGCAAAAATATTTTAAACGTCCGCTATATAATGTACCTTGCTTAGTAACTTCACAAATATTACCAAGTGCCGCACAAGAAGATATTATGATCAAGATTGATCTTTTTCTTCTCAATATGGAACCATTTTGTGATTCACAACTCCCCTTCCCCAAACACATCACATAAGACATTGTACGTCTACCCTTCTCATTAACATCGAAATTCCAATCAACATTACTCTTTTCGCGACCCAGGTTCACATAAGGGTTAAAACCCCCCGACCAGTGATGGGATTTCCTTTTCATTTCCATTAAAACTTGTGTCTTGTGCAATAATATTTTAAACGTCCACTATATAATGTACCTTGCTTAGCATACAGGTTAATTATACCGATAACACTGATTGAATCAAGCCATCCCTCATGCCAATTATTTGTGGTTCAGGTACATGATCGACAAATCAAAAAACCACTAGGATAATAAAAATCGCACCAACCACAAGAACCTTGATCTCCTTCCATAATATAGGTTTAAGATTCAAAACGAAGTGGAATCATGCCGATTGTTTGCAATTGTGCATGATGATATACTTTATTGACATTTACAATTTTAATAAATAAACATGGATTTTAATTATAAGCATCACATTAGTTGCCAAAAATCTCGCAAATTAACATCAAAATTCAGAAGTACTGGATTTTATTTGAAATTTCCAATGTTCGCGGACTAATATATTAACCATCAAATATGGATAATCTGATATTGTAAAATAATTGTACTCTAATTGTTAATTTCCGCAAAGCTTGTCCTATTATACACAGAATTATTTTAACATGAAGTGATTATAACTATGGAGACAGAATTGAAATGCAAATTCTAACTATCCATATTTTTGTTTCCTTGGGATTTATTTGAAGATATATTTTATCGGAGTACTCTAGACAAGTGATAGAACTCGGAAGTTTTCTATTGAAGTTGACGTCAGAGGCTCTAGGGCTCGACCCAAATCACCTTTTAGACATGGGATGTGGCGCAGGGCTTGCTATCCTCGGTCATTACTATCCTCCCTGCCCGCAACCAGAGTTAACAATAGGCGCCCCCGACCACACTGACTACGATTTCATCACGATTCTTCTACAAGATCATGTTGGTGGCTTTAAGATCTTGTATGAAAACCAATGGATCGATGTTCATCCTAAACAAGGAGCTCTTGTAGTAAATGCTGGAGATCTTTTACAGGCATGCATTTCTCTCTATCTCATGCTTAATATCCTTGCAATATTGGTATGCAACTGCATCAATTAATCTTTTTTATATGAAGTGTCGATCTTTTTATGAAAAAAATTACTCATTAAATATTAATATTTCATACCAAAGAACTTATGGCCCTATCGTATTAGGAATTAATAGAAAGATCTCATCAACCAAAGATTGAGGGTTCCGGATGAAAGGTGTAGAGTATGTGTGAGTTGGCCACTCTAAAAAGTTATAATAATATTACATATATGCTCATCCGCTACATGCATACCCTACTTTTTTTTAATCCAGCACTGATTACAATCAATGGAATAATTTAGCTAGTTACAAATGACAAGTTTGTGAGTTCACGACACAAGGTGGTTGCAAACAAGGTTGGTCCAAGAGTATCAGTGGCATCGTTCTTTATGAGTGAGACCTTGCAAGTTATTGAACCAATCAAGGAGTTGCTTTCGAAAGATAATCCAGTCAAGTATAGAGGCACAACAGCGAAAGAATATGTGGATTACTACAGAGCAAAAGGAATTGATGGCACTTCTGCTCTTTTGCATTTCAAGATCTAGATCAATTAAACATCGATTGTTGATTTAGCATTGCATGATGAATCTTGCATTTTCTTGTTCGTCTTATGTCATGTAATGTAATCTATCTCAAAGATATTTTCTTTGTTTTTGTATGATGTTTCGCAAAACTGAGGTGTTGTTATATTATTTTTAATGGGCAGACAATTTACAAATGCAAGCTTAAATATTGAACACTTCAACCGATTAGCAAGTCCAGGTAGGCTAGAAGAGTATTTTGTAAGAATAACTAAATGTAATCATGGTAAAAACAGAAGAGTAAAAACCGGCTATTTGCAACTTTGCTTGTTGTTCAAGCTTTATTATTAACTGGAGGGGAAATTCCTAACATATGTGCCTGTTTATACTATAGTTTAAAAGACTCCTAATACTACTAATTTGAAACCTAATTGGACTCTAAAACATAACTTGCAGGAATAAAACTTAAAAGATTAATAAAAAAGGAAACTTTCCTACCGCTAAAAACCGATTAACCCAACATATTTACCAACTTTTGATGAAAACTTGAACTTATACATGATTTATGTGTACGGGGCGACACTTGGCTGAATGAAATTAAGCCCCCTAAATAAAACTATAGCTTGAAAATACATGTTGAAGTGTTTTTTCTAATTTATATACACAAAAAGAGAGAAAAATTAATCAGTAAATATCGATTGATAATACCAGCCTATATATTTTATAATATAAAAAATGTTAAGAGGTTTTTTATAATTTCCTCTTACGTCTATAAATATAAACAATTGGTGACATTATCTTGCCTCATCTTTTAAATCATAAACAATGTTTTCCGTTTTTAATATTAGTTTGTGAATTATAAGCAGTGTAGTAAAAATCCCGATTAGATTTCGATTAATCTTCAATTAGTTTTTAAGCACTACCCAACAATAGAATGCACCTGGTGATTAATCTTTGTCAACACATATTTGCCAACACATACAGGGAAGTAATATTAAACTATGAAATATTAACATTTTGAAAAAAAATTATCTCAATAGAAACTACTTGTGTAATAATTAGTATTGTATCACAACAAGAAATCAACACAATAGCGATGATATATGCTTTTAGCGGCAACATGTAAATTTCCCATTACATGTCGCCGCTAAAAGCGTGTGTCGCAGCTAAAGGTAGAAAACCACGATCCGTGTCAAATGAGATTGCTTAACACTATCCGTCGATCTGGACCAATCGAACGGCTGCCAATGAAGATCGCTAAACTATTAGCGGCGACGTCAATGGTGGCGACAGCGTTACCGCTGATGCTAAAAAACGCGGTACATTTTCCCTACAGACGTTGCCGCCAGTAAAACCCTAGTGTCGCCGCTAAAACCTCCCGCCGTCGCTAATAGTCATCGTCGCTAAAGGTTAGCGCAGATATACCCCTTCCTCCATCGCTTTTTGTATTCTATATTTGGTCTGTTTCCACCTCTCATCATGTGGTGACATATCTTTTGCTTTTTGTATTCTATATTTGGTCTGTTTCCACCTCTCATCATGTGGTGACATATCTTTTGCGGCGACTGTGAGCATTAGCAGCGACATATAGAACATTTGCAACGAGGCAATAATGACGGTCTTTTAGCGGCGACAGGGCGCCACAAATGGCTTTAGTAGCAACATAACTAGGTTTTAGCGGCGACACTGTTGCAGCTAGTACTCGCGTTTCTTGTAGTGTAGTAATCATATTAACCTAATTTGTTATGATATTAGTAGTATATACGAATTTGTCTAGCCGATTAATTTATTTAACACATACTTTACAGCTTTAATTGTAAATGGTTAGTTAAAGAAGAGGCCTTCTATCCATCTTTTTATCCTTGCATTTTCTTTTTACAGTTTTGACCAAGATTTTCCCTTTTTTATCGTTTGCAAAGCATCCATTTTGTTATTGCAAATTTGAATCGCATTTCTAATTCCTTTGTGGATCAAGATTTTCCCTTTTTTATCCTTTGCAACATCCATTTTCTTATTACAAATTTGAATCGCATTTCGAATTCCTTTGTGGATATTGTTTAGGACTCTTTTCACAATCTTTCACGGTTTCTTTGATAACTTTTTTTCCCATTTTTTCTAGAACCTAGTTTCACATAATCTTTTTATTGAATCTTAATAGTTTTATATACAGCTAGATTTAATTTTTATTTTTTTCAGAATTATTTTTTCAATCTTTGTGTGTTTTCGTTTTTATGTAAGGTGCTTTTATTTTTTATTTTAAGATTTTTTTGTTTTATAGATCAATTCGTTTTTACAAATATGCAAAATTTTGCTCTTTTTACATATTTATCTTCACAAACCAAAAGTAGATTGTCATGTATAATTAATCTAAAAGGGTGTTTGGGATTGCTTAATTAAATAAATTAACGATGAATCAACTCATCAAAAAAATGTTCATTTAAGTCGGTAAGTATTTTTAACCTTTTACTCATCCAAACACTTCAAATTTTTGTTAGTGGGTGCAAACTGTAACTAATAAGCAATTCCAAACATTCATTAATTCGATTTTAAATTCTATTTATTTATGACTTTTCTATGTAATTTTATTATATTTTTATTAGTTATATAATATTCTAATTTATTTTTTTTATACCGAGGCACGATTCCATATTTTTAAACCTTGGGGACTTAAACCAAAATCATTATGAAATCTGTTAATAAGAAGCAAAATTCTAAAAATAATTTTTTTACACCTGATTCAAAAAGAACAGATAAACATAGGGACAAAGTAAAATGTCCTAAAAAAGCAAAATAAAGAGAAGTAAAAATGTTATAATTGGGTAGATTTTTCAGACTACAATGCTTTAAGTCGAAATTATTTCGTTCATTAAGTTACCGAATTTTATCTTTTAGGTTTTAACATCAATTCTTCAAGTTACCTGGAAATTTAGCTAATTGATGTGTCATACATCAAGAAAGGATTATTGAGAAATCATTGAATTATATTCTTGTTTATAAAATAAAGCATCTATCAACAATACTGCATTATGTAATAGAACTGTATTTTGTGAATAAAGTCAAAGAAACATCTCATGGCATCATAGGCAAGGGTAGCAAAAGTTGTGAAAAACTGTGATAATCATACACTAAAAGCATAAAGAAATCATCCAAAAGAAGCTAAAATTGTAGAAATTGAAGATTGAAAAGAAAGCATACCAAGCTACCGATGAATATTGAGCATTGCCTTAGCTTCAATCTGTTCTTCCAAAAGATTCTCACTTGCATACTTGCTCAACAAATCCTTCTTCTTCTTCTCTAACACCATCTTTTCAATCTCCTTCTCATCAGGCAATGGCACATGTACAACAAATTCTTTCTCTTTCTCTTTTTCTTCCAACTCCCTCTCCTTCATTCTCTCTTCCTCCACCACATCCTCCTCCTCTTCATACAGTATTGTCTTGGCTGCACCACCTACCTCCGCCACCTCTCCGCTCTTCACTGCCTTTCTTGCCTCCTTCTTAATCTCCTCCATTCTCATCCACTCTGCCACCGCCTCAGCCCTCATGTTCTCCTCAGCCTCACCCTCCACTTTCTCCAAAATTCCATCTTCATCATCTCTGTAACCGTAGTAGCTTGCATCAATTCTTTTGTAGATATCGTACCTGCTTCTTCGTTTTCTCAACTCCGGTGGCTTCTCAAACAACTCCTTCACGCCAGGAAGCTTCTTCGCCGCCCCAAAATACCGATACCCTGGTCCACGTCCGCTAGGGTTTGGAACATCGACTATATTTCCTTCCAGATCAGTCATTTTAGCTGAATATCTCGAGTAATTATGCCCCCCTAACTCAACAATTCGCCGTTCCCAGTGCACTTTTTCGCGAATTAGTTTGTTGATTTCGTCGTTGAGATCACGAAGACGGTGTTCGCCCAACCCCTCGTTTTGGATTTCGGCGACTTTCCGGCCGATTTCACGCATGATTTGCTGACGCCACTTGTCGGCGTCGGCTAGGTCCCGGCATTCGGAGGCTAAGAAAGGTCGACGCTCTTTCGGCTTCTTTTTCTCCTCGGCTTTCATGGTTATGAACCTGTTGAGCATTGATTGAGCTTTCTCTTCATTACGAGCCATGGTGAAATCGAACTGAACAGAAACCCTAGCTTGATTTAGTTAATTTGAAGGCAACGACTCTCGTTGAGATTTGAATTGCACTGTGTTTTTGTGCGGTGATTGAAGAAGAACCTATGAGAGAGAACAGGGTTTCATATATCGGGTTTTCACTTCTTGAATAAAATACCCTGAACTTTTGTTTATGGTATATATTTAGTCCTTGTACTTTTAAAATATGATTTGCTCGTAAATGAAGTTTTGGATAAAAATGTATTATTTAAAAATCTTAAAACTAGATTTAAATATACACATAAATATATTATATCATTAAAAAAAACCAAATCAATGATTAATAATTATTTCCATTTCATGATGTAGTTGAAGGTATGTTTACATGAGTTTTCTTCTCAAGATTTGATGCAGGATGGAAGTGTGGTGATGTTATTGTTCATCCGTACACAATCCAATCTTGCACGAATTTGCTTTCATTCTGTTTATTTTACAAGTTTGGTATCTAATTTTGAAAATGATCATTAGTTTGATTCTAATTTTCATTATTATTTATCAAGTTAATACTCGTAGAAACAATGACTAATAAAGAAAAAACATTATTGATAATTTTAAATCGCAATTATTGATATTGATCAAATATTTGCAAAAAAAAAAAATAATAATAACAATTTATAACGATAGAAGTTTTGTCCATAAGTTTATAATAACAAGTAAAATTAATATAAACATTATTATGAATATCTAATATACGTTTTGTATGTGTAAATATTTAATAAAATCATGGTTTTGTAGAATGCCATATAAATTTGAATAGAGTGAAAAAAAAAAAAAAAAAAAAACACTATCAGCCATGAAAATAGCATTATTATATGACAAACTAAAAATAATGGTCATATGATAAACATACATAAACACAACACAATAAATT